CGTTCATTACGCTATATTAAACTAATAATAAAAAATTTCGCAAGAACTTACAATTCTTTGATGAGCATTTTAATAAGCAGAGCACATGGGCTGCAGTAATTCAGTGCGGCCACACAGAACCACCCTTGCTTTAGCAAATTCACTCGTGTTATCTCTCAACCCGCAGTCATACGCATACAACGGCGTCGACTTCTCAACGGACTGCCACACACTTGAATCACTGAGTGCCACACTGCACAGCCACTAAAAAGCACACTTACTTGCGCACACATGTGCATCGAATTTCCCCACTCTTACTTCACAGACACTTTGCAAAATGACGTCATGCTTACATGTATCTCAATTCGCATGCGCATTTATCATCTATCAAGTTTACAATAATTTAATCTGGGGATTTCATATAGAATTTATAAAAAAAATATTAAATAATTATAAGAAATATTGTTGCTAATTTATTATATTCTATTATGAATCTATATTACAATTTTTATTTAATATTATATTAAATAAATTTATCGAATATAAATGAAATTTGAAATCTGAATGAAATATTAAAAAATTCACTATGATTTTCATGAAAATTGAAAATAAAGATATATAACATATAAAAATATTAAACATATAAAAGAGATATCTTATTTAATATACAATTTCATTAATAATTATAATTTATAATTTACAATATGTTCAATAACAAATGTAAATTATATAATACAAATAATTATATAATATTATGTTATTTGTAAAAGAACATATTATAAATTTTAATATCATATACTGTGAAAAATAATATATATTTTTCAACAAAAAAGTTTAAAAACAATAAAAAATTATTATTTTTTTAAATATTATTTATTGAAAAGTATAAAAAAATTATAGAGAAAATATGAGAAAAAATGTTTTGATAAATATTATATAATTTTATAAGTAGATATTTTTTTTAAACATTTTTAAAAAAAGGTTCTTTTAATTGGTTTCTTTTTATTTTAATAGAAATAGATAGATATTTTTAAGAGAAATTTAAGAAAAAAATTTAAAAATATGATAAATAAAAAGTGAAAGTTACTTTTTATTTACAATGTACTTCAGGTACAAAAAAGCTATTCATTTATATAATATTGATAATTTTGTACAGAATATGTGATAGAATTTATGATATATAACTTAAAAATTCCTAAGTTTCATATTTATAACTACATACAAAAATTAGAAAGATATCCTGTATTCATTTTTCATAATAATATTATGTTGCTCTATAACAAAATTTTGAAATAAAAATAAGTATTATATATTTGCAATAAATATTGGTTTATGACAATATTTGGTTATAAAATTTATATTATGAATAGATATATCATGCAACATTTGTTGGTTCATTTTAGAATCGACTATAATCGACGAGTCGATTGATCGATATGGTTTGGTGTGTGTGACGAAATATACTTAGATGACAGCGCGTATACTGACGC